TTTTAATTTTTTCTCACAAAAATTCTGAATTGTTAAAATCCATTTGTTTAATGTGCCTTGGTTCCATCGAAAAAAATTTTTACTTTTACCGCTTCTTTAATTCGAAATTCTATATTTTTTACTTTTCCATTTTTTGTATATATTTTTCTTTATAGCGCTAAATAACACCTTTAAAACGAAACTAGGACCATTTTTTTTTTGTTTGAGGTTTTGAGATAATCAAAAAAAAAAATTCGAAATCCCGGAAGTTATGATATGTATCTAGAATTTTGCATAATTTTGGAAAACAACTAATTTTTTTTAACTTTGGCAGAACTTCGTTATATGATAAAGGAATAGTTCTGATCAGAATTCATCCACATCAAAAATGGTCGGTTGAACATTGGTCGATTTCACATGGATTAACCGAATATTTTGTGTATCATTCAACTGCATAAAATTTTTGAGTTGCCACAATCTAAGGACTTCGTATTATTTTAATCGAATAGAAATTCGCCGAGAATAGCTCAAATATTTTCAGTTCACCATCACAACGCGGTAACTAACTACAAACATTGTCATTTTAATCCACATAATATTCAGGTTAGTTTTCACTATGTCAATTTCAATGGCATTTGTCGCCAAAACAGTAAGTGAAAACAATTATCAAATGGGACTAAAAAACGGTCTACCGATTGATTTATCATTGTGAAATGTATGGATAGAGGAGATAAAATTTTGTCAAAATATGACGACACATTATTCGGTAAAATATGACATAACCCGTCATCGATTCGCCACTTCTCTGCTCGCAATTTTAAAACCAGCCTTTACATATCCGTTACGAAAAAAATCAATTTCCATTAGTAAAAGAACCGAATAGGGCATATTTTGTAGAAATTTAACGTACTAGTAAATATTTCGCGAGTGGGCTGGCTGAAAAAATCTTGGCAAGGATACTTTTTTTTTCATTTTGCACTCATTTGTTCAATGCACAAATTACATATCGTCGCTACCATGTCAAACTATCGAATGTGCAAAATTGCTTTTTCATTTACGATAACTTGCTCATGCGTTTAGAATGATAATGAGAAGCGGAGGATACTGGCTTTAACAACGTGTCGAATCCCACACTTTCTCCTAGTGACAACAACATTTTTTACAACAGTTTCTGTGCTCTCCTGAAAAGTACCGATTTTTTACATTCGATAGTTTGACATGGTAGCGACGATATATACCAATCGAAAGCATAAAGCCTATAGAATGCGTTAAGGGCGCGGGACAAACATTTCAATCCTGATCCCGCCCTTCCCGAAACGCAATTTTTAAGTTCCGAACACGCCCATCCCGACATTTTTCAGAATTGTACCGCGGGTCCCGTGGGGCCCGAAATCTGTCACTAGGATTAATTCACATGTATGTATTTCAAATTAGTTTTAAATAATAAAAAAATCTGGTATTTTCCGGTTATTTTATTTTTTACCTTGCTTCTCGTTTTCGTGTAAATAAAAAATAAAAAAGGTATTTCATAAAAGTGGTTTTTCATCGGGGGTGTCGGGAAAGGATTTTAATCGCGGCCCGCCAGCAAAATTAGCCAGGAAAAAAAGAAAACCGAACGTTTTCACATGCTATAGGCTTAATACTTTCGATTGGTATATAATTTGTTATTTTAAACTAATGAGTGCAAAATTAAAAAAAATTAATAATTGAGGAGGATTTCGTCAGCTAGCCCACTCGCGAAATATTTACTAATACGTTAAATTTCGTACAAAAAAGATTTCATCCATTAAACAGATGGGTGAAGGTCGCGCCCTATTCGGATCTTAGACTATATATCTCTGAGTTCTGGTAAAACTAGTTTATTGAAGACTATCTAAATTTAAACAGTAGCAGCTTTTTTTTTTGTCCTAAAAGGATTTGAAAATAAGGCATTTCTATATTATATGAATTTATGTATGTACGTGAATTTTTGAAGACGAGGAATATTTAATGAATTCATATTATGTATATGTATTTCCAAAATAAATTATATGTATTACCTTTCACCTTCAGACTAAAATTCCATTTAGAAGCTTTATAACTTCTTTAATGAATTAATGACTAGCTCATACATTTCTATGTATGTATGTATGTATGTATGTACATTAGACTGCATCACAAAAAAGTTGCGGTTTCGGACAAATATTAAGATTTACGTGAGCTGGACTGATTTGAAAATACCTCCAAAAATGGAGTTTTTATGAATAAAAATATTTTCATACAACTTTTTTAAAAAGCCCCTCACAAAAATTTTTTAAGCTTAAACCGTTCTGTCATTTCGAGGGATTTTTCTCAAAAAACATCTCTAAGAAACTATTTTTATTAATAAAAAAACTCCATTTTTGGAGGTATTTTCAAATCGGTCCAGCTCACGTAAATCTTAATATTTTTCCGAAATATTTTGGTGGACTTCTTAAAATATAATAGATTTTATAATTCCAACAAAACACAGTACGGATTTTTTTTGTATGGAGAGTGATGCAGTCTAATGTATATGTATACAAATTTATACCTAATAAATTATCAGCTCATTAAACCTTTATTACCACCGCAGTCTGTGCACATTTAAGTTGGCACAAACTAAGTACATGTTAACAGCTTTTTTTACGCGAATGTCTTTTTAAATGTAACTAACTACTGTGATATATTTTTACGCTGCTTATCGAAATTACCTACTTTTATAAAACAATATCATTTGTGTATGCCCATAGGCCAACCAATCATTGTTTTCCGACCCGATGTTGCATTGTCACATGAAAACGATGAAACTTACAAGGGTAGTTTGCAGAACTTTGATGAACTGAAAATTTGGGTGCAAGAAAAATGTGTACCCTTAGTGCGTGAGATTACATTTGAAAACGCCGAGGAATTGACGGAAGAAGGTTTACCATTTTTGATACTTTTCCATAAACCAGACGATACCGATGCGATCAAGGACTTTAAGGCTATCATTGAAACTCAGTTGTTGGATGAGAAACGTATGAAAGAGAGAAACAAAAACAATGAACTATTCAAATTTACCAATTCATTTTGCAGAGAATATCAACTTCCTAACTGCGGACGGTCAACGCTTTGCACATCCGTTACATCATTTGGGTAAATCAGAAGACGACTTGCCATTGATTGCTATCGATTCATTCCGTCACATGTATATGTTCCCCAAATTCGAAGATATGTATCAGCCTGGCAAGCTGAAACAATTTTTACAAGATTTGTACAGTGGAAAATTGCACAGGTTTGTCTCAAAAAGTCTAGCAATAAGAATTCTTATTGCAAAATATTATATCTCTTGGACGTTTTTTCTAAAATTATTTTTCTTTACCTTTTCTTCACATGGCTAAACAGAGAGTTCCACTATGGTCCCGATACATCCGGTAATGAGGTGCAAACCGAATTAGTATCAGGCAAAGGCACTTCACCGCCGGAATCGAGCTTTAAGAAATTGGGACCTTCGAAGAATCGTTACACGCTACTACATAAGGATGAGCTGTAAGGTCGATTATTAGACTTTAGGTTAAATACATATACAAGTATACACCCAGATACATCTACACATACATATGTGCTGGTTGCACTTAAACTTGCACAGACAGACACCTGCTAAATAGCACCAATCAAAACAAACAATCAATCAATCTCATATGCTAAAATACAACAAAATTTAGAAATATGCAAGTTTTTTAATACATACATAGTTATGGTGCGTTTTTTTTTTTGCTTTATACGTGCATATGTTTGTTTGTACACTCGTCGATTGTCCAGAATATTGTTTTTCTTTTCTTTTCAAAATGGGTGCATATTTTGTTTATTCTTTTTATTCTTTGCTAAAAACTACACGAAATGTTATTGTGATTATAGGTTTTTTGTTTTATGATATAAAGAAAGTTTATTTAAACTATTGAAAAAATAGCACATAACTTTTTTGATGTATGTATGATTTGCTAAATACAGTAATAATTTTCCTTATAGTATGTACATATCTGTGTTCATATGGAAAAGTAGCTTATGTCGAAAGGCTGGCTTTAGTATAATGCGGCATTCCCTTTACTCTTTAAACGGCAAGGAATTTTTTGATGAGACTTATTAAGAATATTGACTTGCTAGTATCGGAACTAGTTCTTGCACGTTTATTTGCCAAAAGTTCTACAACAGCTCAGCGCCAGTGAGTCATTCGCAATCGTATACTGCGAATGCCGATTTATACTAAAGCCAGCCTTTCGACATAAGCTACTTTTCCATACGAACACAGATATATGGTAAGCGTTAAGCTGGCTTTCAGTTGTACATTTTTCATTAAAATCCCTTTCAGTGTAAATCACACAGTTGTAAAAATAACTATATTTACTATGGATAAGTTTTTTTAAAGTTAGAAAATGGAATGTATTTTTATTTAATTAATTGCGCCGAGCACTATGTTCCACATAAAGTAGAGTGCGCTGATTTTTTTTTTCTAATATTACTGATGAAATAAAAATATACTAAGGTAATTGAAAATGAAATTTTCTTGCAAAGACTGTAGAGCAAGTCAACAAAAAATCTATCGTGTACTTCCGACGAGATTTACAACTTGGAAGCCTTTAGGATATTCAAAGAAAAGGATTTGTGAAGCAGAATATTTTTGCATCGGTTAAATGTCGGGAGTATATACTGTATGCAGTGCCTTTGGGACATCGAAGAATCTTTAGTGTTGAAAAATGTTTCCAACTTATTTTTCCATACATTTTCGTTTTCCTTACTATGCAATATATACCACCCTATTACTTCTCGATAAAGACATACAAAGATGGGGCAAAACTTTGTCAATTTAAAATGCGTGCTACAAAAAAAAACTAGTAAATCCAATTTAGATCAATAATAAATACTTAAAGCAACCAGCTATATAGAAGACACATATATCTTAAATACATAAAAACTTATTTGAAACGCTTACGAGACTTAATAAAACGCCATTAATATAAGTATAAATTAAATTTTTCGTAAAAGTTACATTTTTGTATAATTTTAGTTGCAATTTTTTTTTGAAAACGTTTCTGCTCTGTAAATTTATTTTAGCAGTTAAAAAATAAAGTATTAATAAAACAACATATCTAACATATTTGTTCAAATATAGGCCAACAGAGCAATAAAACCTGTCCTTAAAGTTGACATTTTTTCCGAAATTGAATATGTTACTTGTGAATCCAACTCTAAAAGGACTTAAAACTTATGAGCAATTTAAAAGCGGCATCGTTGTTGCTGCAGTCATCGAAAATTCTAATTCGGCCTGAGCTGAAAATTGTAATCGTCGGTAAAAGTATCTGGCCAGATCTGTACCTGGCCAACGGTTGTGACTCCAGCTGGCTTTCCCTTTGAGGAATTTGTATGCCCCTGAAACAACCTTCGTCTAGTTCTGAAAATGAGAGTCGAATAATTTGCGGTTTTTTCCTATGTTGTTGGAAGTCTGTCTGATGTATGGAGATGAAAAGCAATTACTACATTCATACAAACATACATATATATATATGTATACCAACTACTTTTAGAGCAAAACCATTTTCCTTTATGGAGAAGTTCATCCTTCACGATGACTCTGGACTATGCGCATGAGCCAAATCGGTAAGTATTTTTTTGCAATTACATACATGGCCTAATTGTCAATTGCATTATAGGAAATCTATGGTTAATTCGCTATTTAATTCTTTGGGTAAAAATATATTTGAAAGAACTGGCTATTCTATCATTGGACACAGTACTGATCTGAGCCCAATAAAGAAACTCGGTCACTAGGGACTTTCTCAGAGCTTGAACAAATAACTGAATAACAACACTTATTTGAGATTTTTTTATAGGAGCATATTTAACGGTAAATTAAAAATTTCACATAATTTCGGCTTCTAATTAAGGGCGGAAAATATGCATAGTCGCCACTGGAACATGTATATTTTTATCTTGGTCACAATTGAATGAAATAAGTAGTTTACTAGAAATTTTTATTTATTTTATTTATACATGAACAGCTGTAACTTATAATTAAAATTAGAAATTTTATTATATTTACCTTACTTAAAACAAACAAAAGAAAACGCTAAATAAACAAGAGTTACTAGAGTATGCATATATTTTACATGAGGAGTCGTGAATTTAGAAATCCATAAACGATATTTACATATCCATTCGCCACAGCGCGTACTAATCTCACCGTTATGGGTTTGCGGCGCTCTTTGCCCGCGCTACACACGTTGTTTTCATGCCTACAAAAACATACGCGAATCCTTGCTTTAGTACTATGCATAAATATATATATAGCGTACAAAAATGTAAATTATCCCTTACCGTCTGTAGTCTACCTGCATATCGACGACTGCCTGTTGACGGCTGCTTGATGCCTGCACCTCCAGTTTGTCCAAGCACATGACCGTCTATCGTGCACCACACCAACGAACTACGTACGAGTCTTTACATACATACATACATATATATAGTTACTATGTATGTAAGTGATACACAGTGGAGGTGATGTTGTTCTTTTATTTTTTTATTTTTTCGTAGTAGACAATTTGACGGTCTTTTTAATTATCGCGTTGGACACATCAATTTTTTATTGCTGTGATTCAAGTCTACGCGTTCTTAAAAGTATGTTAGTTAACTTAACGTCTTTTCACGAACACTCGCCAATTGTCTTCGAAAGCCTCTAACTGCTACTATGAACTTAAGCTTAGAAATTCTCTGGCCACAGCTATCCTATTCGCATAAACAAAACATGTAGGTAATAAACTGAGGGAGGCGAAATTTTAAACTATGATAAACACATTTCTGCACGTACATATGTACATAGGTATGTATGAACCTAATAACTCCAGTAACCGCAGTTGTGGCTATCAACACATCTAATTGCGTGTGAGTAATAAACATAAAAATTCCGACTAGGGCACTGTTTGGTAAAACGTTGAGTGCAAGCAAGCTTATGGGAATCCCATTTTTAACAATGTTATCTTTCATTTCTTGCTAGCAATGTGATTTGCTGTTGTGCTAGTTTTAAGGAAACAAACAAGTAGAGGCATCCAGGAACGTGAAATCAAAATTATAGAGAAAGCATCTTCGACCACCAAGTAAGAGTGCAGTGAGTAAGCTCAACGAAGCCACAAACTGCATACATATGTATGTAAATGGTTAGGAATATCCGCTTGAGCATACCGATGTAGTTAAATAATGAAAAAATATAGTATTGATTATGTTGTTGTAACAGCGTGGGAACAATTATTTTAGTTATCAATTCATTTAGTAATAATTAAAGCAAGTTATTATAAATACAAATTAAATTTTATTGTTCTGTTTAAATGTGCTCGGATTTTAAGTCGGAAAACACTTTCGGAATGTACTTATGTTTTAATATACTTAAGTAAACAAACTTTGTACCATATTAAAATTGTGCTACCGATGAAAAAAATATGATATGTACATATATCAACCATATTTCAGTTTGTAAATGCATTCAATAAAGGTATGCATTTCAACTTCCCCATTTTTTTATGAATTTTCGTACACGCTGTTTTTATCATGATACATCTTATTAATAAGAGAACAGAATCCACGGTATTATTGGTAAATGAAATTTTCAATAAAAGCTAGCGTTTTTTGAAGCAATAATAATAAACCGCTTCATTATACTAAGGTATCTATGTATATTAATTGGACGGTTAATATTCGAACACAATAATGCTGAAATGTATTGTATAAACTATTTAACGATTTTTGTGCTTAATTATTCGAGTTTCATGTTACGATTATTAGCTTTAATAACGTGAAGGCTCCGAGAGGTGAGCTTTATATTAATCTTTACCAAGCTTTAATAGAGGCATGAAACAATGCCCAATACCGATAACACAATCAAACCTCCAATTATTGTGCGGCTTG